TTTTTTCCCTCTCGCAAGGGTTTAGGGTTTAGGGTTTAGGAGACAGAGAGAGAGAGAGAGAGAGAGTTCAGCAATGGCAGCAATGATTGCAAGTACAAGTAGTGTGAGCGATCCCGGTCTTGAGACACGATGGATCTCTACTTCTGCATGTTGCACATAAGCAAATTAGTGTACCCATAGGCCCCATAGTGGTTCCCTTGTGGGATTACCTTATAGGACTCGAAATATGAACCCCAAAAGGAACTACTCCTCCATTGCTAGAGTTTACAATTTACAAGATGAATCCGAATGGCTCTGCTGCCAACAGAATCGGGTCTTGTTTGTCGGGGGTCTACATCACTCAACCCAGAGCTACACCCTAGGATGTGAACTGTCTAAGCCCCCAAAACATCGAAACGAAAATCTACCCATAGGCCCTGAAGTAGTTTCTTTTTGGGGGTTCATATATAGAATCCTATGAGGTAACCCCAAAAAGGAACTACTATGGGGCCCATGGGTACACTAAACTTCACAAAACCCCCAACCAGACTGCTCCGAGACTCTCGTCAGTATCGCCCCAACCGTCAGCTTGGCAAGCGCCGTGGAACGGCCGTGGACCATGGCACTTCGCCCCAAAGGGAGTACTGTAGGGGCCTTGATAATTAGAATAGGGTTTTGGGGCCCATGATACTGGGGCCCATGATACTACCTTTTAAATAAGGAGCCCCCAACAAAATATTGGTAATTATTGAAGCCCTTATGTTACACAGACTCCAATACTCCCATAACTTTTCCCTCAACTAAGGGCTCCCTAACTCCCTAAGCAGGGGTTCCACAGGTCGCAAGTAACCGAAAGGTGAGTTGCTAGGATTCTTCTGTCCTACGTATCATATGCAATTGAGGCAACCGTATGAGGGGCTCCCCTCGATATGACACTTTAGAAGTAGTATCGGCGCTGCCATCCTTTGAATAATATCATATACACAAAACATTTAGCATCTCGGAACATACGGCAGAGCTGGTTCTGCCAAAGCCTGGTCTTTCAGTTCCGAGCCACACATACTCTTGACACCTGCCTGCTCACAACATTCCATAGACTGAAGAAGGTAAAACCCCTATTTCGTGAGTTGCCCTCAGGCTTGAGTCCTGCTGCCTCTGCGACGAGTCAGGTACTTCTGGAACCAACCCCCAGGTACCTACTATATAGGGTACTAGAGCCCCTAGGGCCCTATATAGTAGGTACCTGGGGGTTTAGGGGGAGGGAATGGGGGAGTAAAGAGAGAGAACAATAACACACCGAGGACTGGGATCCCTGCCGCATCTCGGGGAAGCAATCCGGAGCCATGCTTTGGAACACATGGCCCAATGCAACCTGAGCGTGAAGTGGAACCTTAAACACCCGAAACAGAAAGGCTGTAAAGACCCTGTGAAAATAAACCCTGGCCCCTAATACCTTGCTGTTTTATGTATGAATCCACCGACTAATCCCGGGATCCTGAGCCGTGCTCCACGAGGCTCCACTGAGTTCTAAGCCCAGGCCAGGGATCTGCAGCTGGCCTGGCAGGCCTCCGTGTTCGTGGCGGCCTGCTAACCGGGGTGCTAGGTTTGTGCATTTTCAGGGTCCCGGGCTGGCGGTTTAGGATTGTCTTCGGTGGGTTCAGAACTTCGAAGACTTTTTGCGCACAATACCTCTATCCTCTGCTGGAGATCACAGCAGCGATGTAGTGGATTGCTATGGCTTGCTCCGAGATGCGCCGCTTGAAGGTATGCTGAGTGGATAAGCGAGTCTTGGCAAAACCGTAGCAGAAGCCAAATTCCAAACAGCAGTCGTAAGCTTCGCCCAAGTTCATGCATGTACCCCCTGCGATCCTGTCACAGAGGTACCCTGTCCATTTATTCCTTGATATACGAATGTTCAGTGGCCCATACCCATAACACGTCCCACCTAAAAATTCACACACAACCCACGAATCCACCCTAAACCGGAAGCGTATGTCGAATTTACGGCACAACTGAGTCTTGAAGTGACGACAATTCTCGACCTCTTATTCCCAGACAACTATGGCACCTGCAGTCGGTTCCAGTTCTTGCTGGGTGGAGACGATGACTGTGGCGCTCCAAACATGCCTCCATGCTCAGAGGGTTTCGCCAGTCGTGGCGGAGTTGTCTTATAAACTTGACCCTAAACCCTAAACCTTGAGGCAGGATCAGGATCCACTGGTTTCAATACAATACCCGTAGGCAGGATTAAGCAGGATAGACAATCCAAGCCACAACACACGAAGCTCGTTGACTCGGGAGTTTGCTCCGGCTGTGGTGGTGGGTGGCTTGGGTTCTTATTTTGGGGCGTTTTGGCTGTATCCATTAATTGTTTTCTGACCAGATTCCAACGGCGCTTCCAGATAATGAGGCTTGAAGTGCGGTGCTTGCATGCGATCAGACTATGGCATCGAGGTTTTCGAAAAGTGGTAAAGCAAAGCTGCAACTGTAAAAATGTACCACCAAAGCCCTCTAAAGTAAAGGGATCGCATGACGGTTCATCGAACAGGCCTTCAGAACCTGCAATGAAACAACGTTGCGGCCTGCCAGTGTCTCCTCCAAGAAGCCCGCCGCCGGAAACTGGAAAGGCCTCAGCTGATGGGACACTGTCAGCGACTGGCGTGCGAAGCAGTTTGGAGCTTACTGGCGTGAGCACTTTCTGCTGGCTTGCCGCAGCCATAGCTGGGAAAGGCGAGGTTGCCGAGCTACATTTTGTATGTCACCTTCAGTGCGCATTTCAGTACAGAATAACCCCTTGCAGCCAAGTCTCATTGCATCTGTGTCTACAACCTGGCAGGGTCAGCTACAACACTCACCTCAACTGCACGTTACTCCTTTTCGCCCCTCGATCCGCTCTCCCTCAGGCATCGGCGAACACATTCCGCCCTTTCACGATTAATGCGTAAGCACGTCGTCTAGGAGGGAGACTACCTAAACCCCCAAAAGTAGGTAAAATAATGGCCCAAAACCCATAAAATGCTATTATTCTACATATTTTTTGGGGGTCCAGGTACAGGTGTCCGAAACAGGCAAGCAAGAGCCCTGCGGCACCTTGGCATCATAGAGACTGCAGCTTCCAAACTTGCAGCCTGGAGCTCCAGCGGAGATGAAACCGGATTACCACCGCCATCATCATGTTCACATGGGGGGTTTCCGAAAATAGGGGACCCTCACATAGCACCCTAAATAGTAGGATCCCTATTATAAGGACCCCAGAGTAAGGTACCCCTAATTTTTGGAAACTCCCGACATGGTCTCGGATGATGATGCTGGCGCACGTGTGTGTGTGTGTGTGTGCCATGCGGCTACTGCCATGGCTACTTGTTGCTGACTCTGCCTCATCCTACGAACTGCCGGCGCCTGAACTTTGCTACGGTTCTGGACCAGCGAAGGTAGCAACCGTGAATCAGGCAAGCTTGTAGGTATGCCCAAAGCACCGATACTGCGAAGTCTCTTCGCCTCGAGTCATGTGTGCCAAGATTGGCAGTGCCAATAACAAATGTACTCACTAAGACTACTCCTGTCGCAACAGCTCGCAGCCCGGAGAGCTGAACATCCACGTTATTGTTGCCTCACTGAAGAGTGGTCTGTGCCTGCAATCGATTTGAGTTTTAGGGTATTCCCGGAAACACCAGAGCCCATGAGAAAACAACATTTACCAAGAAATTTGGTTGCTCTTGAACCCGAAGACTCCAAAAGCTGACTCTAAACCCTCCATTGTAGTTCCTTTTTTGGGTTAACCATATATATATATATATAGTAACGATTTTCTATGGTATCCCCCAAAAGGAACCCTAAACCGTGGACCCCGGTCGGTAACCAACTGCCCTCCTTTGAGGAGCCGGGCAGGTGGCAAAGCCAGACAGGCCAACAGGAGTTTCAGCCTGGCGCACTCGGAGGTTAATGGGTGGTTATAAATGGTTATAAGTAGGGTAACTATACTTATAACCCATATTAGGGGACTTATGACCCCACTTATAACTGCCCAGGAACCTCTAAGTAGGGCTCAAGGTTTACAGGGGCCAGGGTCTGTAGAGCTTTAAGTTTTTTACCTCAGAGTTGCGGGTTTGGGGCATACACGGCTTAGTAAGGTGGCCACAGCAGGCATTTCAGATTTTTTCACCCCGCTCTGCAAAACGAAACGCTACCCGAAAGCCGAAACCCCCGAAACACCTCAACCAGGGGACGACCTCGGATACTTTCTAGGATCCTCAATACAGGAATTAATTCAATCAGGGATGCAGGCGGGGCACCAAATAGAGAACTGAAAACGGTCATAATCCAGATAGCCATATTTGGGCATCAACAATCAGAACATGGTCTGGGAGCATGTTCCGCTAAGCTTATTGGTGCTAAGAACAGCAACTACAGTCTATGTGTTTGCGAAAATCGACACCTGTCCAGCGAAGTGCTCAATGAATGTGCTCGTAGCTGTTTGCAGAAGGAGCCAAGCACCAAAAGCAGGGTGATCCTGAACTTGAGCCAAGAAGAAATGCCTGAACAATCAGCCTACTATACAGGAGATCAGAACAGCCCGTGCCCGCCTGTGGTATGTACACCTCCTGAAGCAAGCAATGTGTTGGGACTGGTCCATGGACATGAAAAGCTTTCCTTATACTCACGATAATGGCTGAGCTCTGTAAAACTGGAAATTATTCTAAACTATAATGTTGAAATGGAGTTCTACTTGTGCAATACCACACTCTGACCTCGACGATGAGACTTCTACGACAACAACTATGACGGTCCTGCTAAGGTATGTAACGCTGGAAAGCTTGTCTTCTCGATGTGGGCCGGTCGATGTCAATCGTTGAAGAATAGCTGTGTGAAAACAGCTACGCTCACGCCGAGACTAGGAGGGGACGCGCAGATCCAGCCAACCAAGGACAGACTGCAGGTATATGGACGGGGCAGCCGTATATGGTAGCCGTGGAATTGGCTTTTGGCTCTGCCTACAGTGGTCCAAGCGTCGAGGCTTCAGCAATCGGTCGGAAGCCTATAACTCTGTCTTCAAGAAATCTCACCGAATCCGGCAATTATGAGCATCTCAATGCTGACCAGCAGGCGTTAAAGTTCCTCAGCACGGCGGTCCTAAAACATAACCACAAACCGATGAAGCGACAATTCCAGAGCCTGTTCGAAGGGTCTTGGGATTGAACATGTCTGTTCGTTTTCTGTGGGTACGCTCACAGGCGTGACTCTCTCAGCCCACCTCTAACCATCTTACAGTACTCGTGGGTTGACCTCGGCAGCTGCAGTTAAGGTCTAGCAAAGGGCTTTCGAGGAAGACTTTCGCCTCTCTTGAGGGTACCTATAGTCTCCATTGTAGTTCCTTTTTGGGGATACCTTATAAAACCCTTATTGTGTATTTGGTTAAACCAAAAAAAGGAACTACAATGGAGACTGTAGGTAGGATAGTCTTGAAAGCCCTCGGGTCAAAGAGGCCGTAAGCTGACAAGACAGCCGTGCCTCCTGATGCCCGATGAAGGACAGGGTCGGGGCTTTGCGACTCTTCTCCATGCAGGCACTTGGGGTTTTTGTGCAAGTCCTGGCTTCTCAAAGCTAGGGTGACATTGGGGAGA